GGCCAGATTTAACAAGCTTTTGGATTATTTCACGGAAAGCACTTTGTGGCGTGATGGCATCGCGTAGCATTACACAACCCACTGCGTTTCTTCAGAACAGCCGGTAAAAACCACCTATCGATAAGATTACACTTGATGCTGCTGCTGCCTTCCAGGCGTTGGCAACCTGAGAAACAAATTGGCGCTTCAGGGAATTGTCCTGTACTGAGTAAATCTAGACACGTGGAAGCACTGCACGTCCATAGTTTGATGAGAACGAAAACACCTGGGACTCCTCTTCTCGTGCCACATTGCAATACTGGGAACCAAGGTTTCAGGAGGAACATCTGTGCTTAATGGCTACTGGTCTTAGAAAATGTATGAATCGATAGCGGATCTGAAAGACCCCAGCTGAGCCCATTTTGGCTTATACAATGCCTTATGGAAAATACTGTACTCAGAAGTATGAGAGCACCTCGAAAAATCAGCAGTTTTTGGTATATTAAGTTATTCAAGGGGAAAAACGATAACAGGAAAAAGAAAAAGCATCCAGCGATGATCAGTTCTTTTCTTCGCTGCGCCACGAGTTCTACTTCCATTCGGAATCGTAGGGCACTTGAGCGATTTTTAAAATATGCAACCACTTCTTGGTAAGGTAATAGCTCAGTGCTTTTCAGGCACCCGAAGGAGTCTGTGCCGACTATCCGACCCTCAGTGACAGGCGTGGTGGCTTGTTTGGCCCGGAACGAAATTTGATCCGGACGAGCATCATTCGAAATGCTCAAACATTTGGGTGAAGTAGTTGATTACTATCTTAGAGATAGATAAAAGCTGCTGAAGAGTGGCTACAATTTTGAGGTGATATGTGGCCAAGTTTTCACCACGTGTAGATAACCCGCTAAAGGGCACAGCGGCGAACAAAGTCACTTCAATTTTTCAGTTTTTATTTTTCATAAAACCTGTCAGTCAAGACGGAAAACGAAATCTATATGTTTACTATATATCAAAATTGTTGACAGAGTGTGTGCTGACGGAAATAAACACGGAAGTGTGGAGATATGTAGCGGTGCTCCGAATAGAGTTGAAGAAAAGAACAAAACATTTATTTCTGAGCATTATTGCAGGTATTGGCTTCCGAATTTTTGGGCGCTTTCCAACATAATACTAGTAACCGGATTATACAGTACTCTGCGTACCCTTCACTTCAGTAAGGTTACCAAGGCATTTTCAGTGTTTGTCTTGAAAGAAGTAGGAATCACAGTAAGACGCCTTGTTAAAGGGAAGGAAGCCTTCACACACATGTTTGTTCTAAGATTTTTCTAGAAAAGCTTAAAAATGCCTAAAAAGAAGTGAAAAATACCTCACCGTATCATAGTTCTTTCTGTATTTGTACAGGGTCGAGCACCTGTAACGATCTCCGCCAACGTGAAAAGTCGACAGATTGGGCACCGATGCCACTCTGAAAGACAGTTATAGTAAAATGACCAGTTCATCACATCGGAATCAGTTTGATGGAAAATATTAAATATGGAAAATTTTTTACAGAAATCAGCTTATTCACTGCACTATTTTTGACATCATAATTAAGTTAGCGCTGATGCTAGCTATGAAATCTGACGTTTGGGTTCAAGTTTATCCGCGCTAATG